TTGTAAAGAGTGTATAAACAAACCGCCCAATGTCAGCTCGAAGAATCAGGGCCATTCGTTAAGTTGCAGATCATCAAATGTACTGCTCAATCCTGCACACAAGAATCTGGTCAACTAAAGTTCAGTACCAAATTGGCTTCAGATAAGAGTCAAAGGAATTCAAGAGGAATTGAATTTGGACTGTTTGTGGCGATGTAATGACTCTAGGCTGATGACGCACTTATCTCCACCCCCATCTCTACCTGCTTTTCTCCTATACCCAGTTAAATAATGATGGTGCCCTGATCTTTATAGAATTACTGTTAACTGTATTACATGTGTAGAAAGAAGTGATTTCTAGAGCCTGGAATTGAGTTCACACTTCATTCCTGTATTCTTGGTGTAAATTTGAAAGGGTGCCATTCGTTTCTGTAATTTGGACTGATGCAACTAGAGATGTGATCATTGCTAAGAAACAATGAGGACACGGTGCATGCGGGTCCACGTGTAGATAAAGGTAGAAGCAAATTGGAACAGGAAATCTTCCGTCCGATTTTCATTGCGTGGCGGGGGAAAAGCTTTCCATTAAAATGACCTTCTCCACTTAAGTGAAGTGTAACGTATTTCAGTAGGTGTAAGTTATAGAAGCTGTTCTGAACCGACTTCTGTTTATGAAAATTTAGCTTTGGCAAATACGATGTGCAAGCTGTTGTGATCAAGTGCTTCCTCTCCTTTGAGATGTGTCATTGACTTTTTTTTTTTTTGAGTATATGGCTCCTCAATTTATTCATATCTGCTTGTGCCCATCAAATGCTTAGCAATGCCTTCTGGGTTAGGTGGGCCGTTGTTCTCCTTTCCAAAGGGCTGCACAACTCTTCACCTGTTTGCCTCTTTAAAAGCTGCCCCCGCCTGGCCTTAAGATAATAAATATTTTCCTGCAAGAGGTAATGCAGAAAAGAAGAGGGTTAGGAAGCTTGGTTCAAACATGTCTTAGGCAGCCTTAAATACAGGCCTGGCATCTTGTTAGTCTTGGACTTATGGCCACAACTGACCCCAAAACTTCCATTGCTAAGCAAGGCGGTTGTTAAAGTGAGTTTTGCCCCGTTTTGTAACCTTTTTGCCACAGTTGTTAAGTGAATCCCTGCTGTGGTGAAGTCAATCATGTGGCCCTTAAGTGAATCAGGCTCCTGCTCCAATTCTGGAAGTTTTTAAGAAGAGATTGAAATGGTATAGGATTACCTGTCTGTGCAGGGGGGTTGGACTAGAAGACCTCCAAGGTCCCTTCCAACTCTGTCCTATTCCTATTCCTATTCCTATTCCTATTCCTATTCTATTCCATCCCATCCCATCCCATCCCATCCCATCCTATTCTTATTCTATTCTTATTCTTATTCTATTCTTCTATTCTTATTCTACTCTATTCTGTTCTGCTTCTATTCTATTCGTATTCTATTCGTATTCTATTATTCTTATTCTATTCTATTCTATTCTATTCTATTCTATTCTATTCTATTCTATTCTATTCTATTCTATTCTATTCTATTCCCCTATTGACTTTGCTTATTGGAACCCAGTTGGGAAGGTTACAAATGGTGACCACAGCATTCCCAAGGCTGTTCAACTGTCATAAATACATGCCAATTGCCAAATTCAATAAATAAAAAGGAGGGGGGAAATGGCCAAATGAAAGACAGTTGGTGGCTCCACCCACTTTTGGCTTGGATTCCACCTATTCCTGGCCTCGACCCCACCTACCAATTTCACCTTCTAGAAGAATATAGCCATTGACCAAAGGAACAAATGCCTGTCCCTGTTCCAAATGGGCAAAATTTTCCATGAGAATTGTAGTTTTTTTTTTTTTTTTTCCCATCTCGGCATGAATGCCAGGAGCGGGGGAAGAGTGGTTGCTTTCTTTGTGTAATGTATTTATTTCCCATGATTTATTTCCCACTTTAATTGCTGGAGCTAAATAGAACCATCAGTGAGACAGATTACCCTGAGAAATGCAAACTGTAAACTTTGGCACATTTCCCCAAAAATGGTGTAGGAGTTTGGACGCTCCATTTAACGTAGATTAATAGTTCCCTCATTTCTGCTTTGGAGATAGCTTCCAGATATGCCTCCCCTTGGTCAGGATTGTAATGAATCCCACCCAGCATAAGCATGAGAAACTTGGAGGACCACCTAGCTCATGATCTCCCTCTTTTCCCCCTCCATCTTCTAAAATTGCAAGAAGAACATACCAACAAACAACATGTAGGCAAAAAAGAGGCAGAGGCTGGAGATGGAGTCAAGCAAGGAATCAGCCTAGAATCATTACGTTCTCACCAACGGTCAAAGTCAACCCCCTCTTGAATTCCATTGACTCTTATCTAATTCCAATTTAATGCTCACTGTTAGTTAACTAAATTCTTGCATATAGGCATGAGCAATAAATCAACTTAACATTAATTTAATGTGTGGTTCCTAGTCTTTGTTCCTCATACACTTTACTTCTTTGTGGTCTGACACATAATTTCAATGATGCAGTGGCTAGAATGCAGCATTGCAGGCTGATTCTACCCACGGTCTGAAGTTCGCTTCTGATGGGTCTTAAGGTTGACTCAACCTTCCATCTTTCCAAAGTTGGTAAAATGAAGACCCAGATTGTTGTGGGGCAATATGCTGAAACCACCCAAAAAGTGCCATAAAGCACTATGGTGTGGCATATAAGTCTAAGCACTCTTGCTACTTCTCAGTTCTAGTGATCTTCAGGTATGGTTAGGACTCAACTCCAAAATACCCAACCAGACTGAATCACACTGAGCCCTAAAGCTTGCAATGTGAATTTGGTCCACTTCTCTAACCGTTCTTGTAAAGTTGTCCTAAAAAAAGAGCAGGGTCGATATACAAGTTGGAGAGAAGCAAGGAAATCAAACAGCTGGTAGAATTTACTACCTACAGTGTGGCTGGCTGTAATTATTTATTTGAAACAGTTTTATATCTGCCTTGAGCCAAAAAGTCTCACCAATGTATTTTGCCAAAGGTCAGGCTTACAGACTTACCTACAAGGAAGGGGAGGAGAGAGGGGGAAAAAAAAAGCAAGCATAGAAACCTTTTCTCTGTATTGCAGCTCTTAAAAAGGATCAGCTAGTAGTTACTCCAATGAGTAACTACAGGAGAAAATTTGTTCAATGAGAAAAGATAATATGAAATTGAAACAGAACAGACAAAAGTATAAATATAATGATTTGAATTGAGATGAGATAATCAAAATAAAATTGAGAAAATTAAAAGAGGGGAAAAACTATGTAGAAAATGTAAAATAGTATAAGATATGGAATAGAATACAAAAAGGAGCATGAAATTGAGTTTTGTGTCTGAATAAAGAAGTTCAACCCGGAACCATGCTATTTTCAAAAAAGATGTTTTAGTTGTATTTTGTATGTGTGTAAACCCAAATAAAACTTTATTTAAAAAAAAAAGGATCAGCTAGGAGAACAAGAGAAGATTGTATGATGTGGTTACCACTTGTTGCCTGTTGAAGAGGGAAACGGGTGGTGGAAAACAGTACCTGGGCCATAGCTTTACATATTGATTTCTATAGCCGCCATTTTGTCAAGTGCCTCTGGGCAGTGTACATCATAAAATATAATGATTAAAACATTGCATAGTAAATATACTTGGCACTTAGAAAAATGGCTGCTTTGGAATTTAATACAGCCAGGAAATGAGGCCCTTAACACACTCAAGGACCCAGGCCCAGGCGTACAATCTAGTCTTCATGGGTTTGTGAAAGGTCAACAAGGTAGGAGTCATTCTGATATCCAAAGAGGAGAATATTTCTGAAGGTAGAGAGAACTGCACAGAAAGCACATCTCCTGCCAGCCAACGTTTCTTTGCTGCAGGATCCAATCTGAGTGAATCAAAGGGTCCAGAAGTTTAGTCTTCTGAACTTTTGGAATCATGATGGGCTCCAGCCTGAGCCTGAAAGCTCAGAAGGCTAACCTCTGGTCCTGTCATGCCTCTGTTGGAGTCTGAATCCGAGGAGGAAGATGAACAGCTGACAGGGAGTGGGAAAGTGGCTCTGTTGACTGTGGAGGAAATTGGGGAAGGGCAAAGTCCAGCTGGGCAGAGCAGGAGAGAGGTAGAGCAAGGGAGAGGGAATTCAGAGGAAGACCCAGGCCCACCCCCTCTTCATCCTAGGGCACACAAGGGAAGAATGGAGAAGAGAGCAATGTGGGTTGCGTGGCTTATGGGGGAGGAAAGGGCCCTGATTCCCTTCATTAGCCACACCCGGGAAGAGACTTTAAAAGAGATGCATGCTGAGTGGGGCATCTGCTGGGAAAAAACTTGAGTTTATCTTGTATTGACTTTGGTATCTGTGTTCCTGGCATTCTTCCAACTGTGTTGAATTACGGCCATTCCTTCATGTCTGGAATTCCTTCTCCTGCCCTGCCAGACTAATTACCTCAACTTGCCTTGATTGGACTTATAGTTACAGTTTTTGTTGACCACATTTTGGACTTGATTCTCTGCAGCTAAAGGCTGTTTCTGGGAGAGTTTTTCTCCAGCCAGAAGGTAACCAGGGCATTGGGGGCAAAGTTGGAGCAAATAAAGGGACTCGTACTGATTATCCGACTGTGTTGCCTTTGTCTCACACCCTGGGTCATCACAGGTCCCAGATTGGATCCTGCAACATTATCCTGGGATATGTATATTTGCCTTCATTTCTTGGCTGATGAGACTCTAAGCATGCCCAGTTTACCAGCCTGAATTGGATGGATAGAAACGAATGGGAGAAGACAGTCTCTGGAGGTAATCCTTAGAGATTACCTTAATCTCATTACCAATGACATGGTCTGAACCCTCTGCTGTTACAGGCAGCAAATGACTTGGCGTTCTCCATGGCTTCCGTTGGGTTGTGATAACCATTGAAATAACCACATCGGTGGTGACCCATGGCTAAGCTCTGATTAAGCTCCGTTTATGATTTTTTTTTTGTCCCAACAAGCTTAGCGATTCCAAATTGCCAATGAACGATGTGTGTAACCATCTCTGTTTTCTTCCATTCCTTTCAGACCGAAAACTACTCGTTTGATTCCAACTATGTGAACAGCCGAGCTCATTTAATAAAAAGGTAGGTGGGGCATTGGGTGCGTTTTTGGGGCATCAAAGCCAAATTGTTTAATTCATTCCCACTGGCTTCTTATTTTCGATGCAAAATCTGCTCACTTGGTTTTGGGGGATTGGGCAGTGATGGTGGTGGAGGAGAGAGCTTCCTCCAAGGAAATTAGTAAATAGGTACATCTTAGTAAACCCTCGCCGCTTTTGGCTTTCAAAGGCTTTTTGTCAAACTCAACTCCAACCCACATCCCAAACTCATTCTGAGTGATGTCTTCCTTCATACATAGGAGTGGTGTAGAGTCAGGCAAAATTCTGTTATCCAAACAACTTAAAAAATCGTAGTTGATTTCTCTGCACAAAACATAAAATGAGGAAGCTGGAGCTTGGAGAATGGTCTCTGCTTTGGAAGAAGAGAGAGGGGAAAAAAATAAGCTCCTAATGGATTGATTCGGCACCTTTTTTTTAAAAAAAATAACCTGTTCGAATGGCAAGGAAAAACAACATTGGTACTTTGATATGTCCCCATCTACTATTCCTCTTTAATTCAACTATTTCTTTCTCTTTCAAAGAATTTGTTTATTGCCCAGCTTCTTTCAAGCGTAAGCTAGAAAATGAATGTGATCCCTTGGGGATGTGTTGATAATAATAATTACTAACATCTCACTAGTCATTACCTCTAGCGTAGGAATGAGAGTTCATTCTGATTCTATCCTTCTTGTATCCATCCAATACTTCCACTTTCAATATCCTTAAATAAAGTTCTGAAGTAGGATGTATTTGCCAGGGATTTGGTATCTGCTTCTTTAGCAGCCAACCTCATTGTGACTTAAAAGGGCTGAACATCTTTTGACCTTACAGGAACTTCTACTCTTATCTGCCTCAGCATCATGGCTGTGAATGATGTGGTTTAGACCCAAAGGTGTTTTTTCAGGAGGCAACTGGACTTTCTTGTTTTCGCTTCTTATCCAAGAAGCTTCTTCAGCTTTGACAGGATCATGGGGAACAGAAGGATTTATATGGTCCTTGCCGACAGCTGGTCATTTGCATCCTTTTAGATGGTCATTGAGGCCACTTGGAGGTTTATCTGCATCCTCAGTGGCACCGGAGTAGTGCAAAGGGTTCCTGTAGTCTACAATCCCCCCCACCCCGGCTGGAAATCCTTTCCTTACTCCCACACCATTCAAAAGGTGTTCATCCCAAATTGTATAGCTAAAAGTCAGTAGAGATTCTCAGTCATCCAGGTCATAGTTGTCCCAAAGCTGCCAAAGTTGTGGCTTAGAGTCGAGCATCAGGGTGGCTGTGGAACTTGGAAAGTCCTAGTCTAAAATTGGTGGTGGTGTAATGAAGTTTTGCTTATGTGTGTGTGTGTGTTTGCTTCACCAGACCAATACTAAGTTGTTATGTCCGAAAGAGATCTCTTCTTCTATCTGTTGATGGGACCAGCAAAGATTGTTTTGTGCAACCAAGCACATTCATGGCCCATGTGTTCAAAGAGCATGAAGAATGTAAGAAGTTTGCTCTCTGCTTGAAGTTTTCTTCCTCCTTGACTTTTTAATGCTTTCTAAACTTAGATTTCTTTAAATACGTCACATTTTGCGTAATTCTAATCTGGCTTTCTGGGCTGAATCATAATCGTTCCATCAACCAATACATTTTTTTTTGAAGACACTTTGAGGTGCTACCCTGCTGCTTGCTTCAATTCAAGGCTGGAGGTAGGAAATGGATTTCTTTCTGAGACCCCTGAGGCACTTCCCGGATCGCTTTCATCATTTCTTTATTTCAACCCATCTTTCTTTTACCAAAATTAAGTTTGCCAGCCTGGATTTCGCGTTTTTGGACTCTCTTTAAACGTGCTTGCAGTAATCCGTTGAGGTCAGTGACTTTGAGAGAGTGAAGGAGAAGGAATGGCCGAAATCGAGTGTCAATGTAAATCTTCCTTGTTTTTATCTTTGAAACAGCAGAAGACTCCTGGCTGTTTTCAGTTACAACATACTTTGGAATTTTTCCTCAATTTAATCTCTGTTGTCACAGGAAATCTTCCATTTAATTCACACAGTAGGTGGCTGTTCTAACCCAGATGCCCGTACATGAAAAGGGAATAAGCATGGGTTTGCCGGCAATTTTAAATTTGCATGGTTGAATTACGCACTGTTTATATTCTTGTCCCATCTGGCAAAATGTGTTAGATTATAACTCCCATAGATTCTGAGTTAGGGAGGGCGACTGAAGTGTATGAGATTTGTCAGATTTTGAGCAATTAGGCAAAGTTTTAGTGAATCTTTTTCTTATGGTTGTTGTTGGCGTTCAGAATAGCTTTATTTTTGGGAAGTAGAAACCTGGGTGCAGATGAGGTAGAGATAAAAACCAAGACAAATTCCTTGTGTGTCCAATCACACTTGGCCAATAAAGAATTCTATCTATCTATCTATCTATCTATCTATCTATCTATCTATCTATCTATCTATCTATCTATCATCTATCCAATCTCATCTCTCTCTCTCTCTCTCTCTCTCAATAACTAGGAATGTTGCTTGTAGTTTCCAAGCATGGCTCTTGATCTTCCTGCTCATTTATTCCTTTCAACAACATATTCTATTCTATTCTATTCTATTCTATTCTATTCTATTCTATTCTATTCTATTCTATTCTATTGCTATAAATGTCACTCTCTCTTCTGTGCCCCATCTTAGCAATACAGGTAGCTTTTGATTTATGGTGAGTCGCTTAGCATTTGAAGTTATGAATGATGGATCCCCAAAATGGGATTTAACAACCCAAATTCAATGTTCTAATGTACACCCTTCCCCGCTCGAATCAGGTAAAATCAGGCATGGGGCACCCCATGACTGTCATGACTTACAACTGAAATTGTGGGCTCAATTACAGCTGTAAATTGAGGACTATCTGTATTTAGGGGCTAAACTTGCATGTCTATCATAAGGATTGCATTCAAGAACTAAGTGACACAGGTCAAGCTGATTTCAAGTTCCCATGGCAGGGAACAATTGGTGGAAGCAACGGTAAGATTTGTGGAGTCCTTGGTGCTCTCTGAGCTTGGTTATTTTCTTGCAGACATTTCACGCTAGCTCTGATGTTACCCAGTTGGACCATAAAACATCGGCAAGATAACAACCAAGCTCAGAGAGCACCAAGGAGAGTTCAACTCTGAGCTACAAATATTATTATCTTCTGTTGGTAACAGTAAGATCCTCTGAACAATGTTTTAATGCAAGAATTAGAGCTACAGTATAGAATCTTGAAAACTGCATCGAGGATCTCCAGACCCCATTTATTAACAAGTTCATTAAAGTGGAGTCTCATTAAGGGTTTTTTTTTTGACTCTTTATTTCCCAGAATAATTTTGCAATCTGGAGTGAGCTGCCATTTTCTGAGATAAGGTATTCCTGAACTACCTGTTGATAGTTGATTCTTAACATTTCTCCTGATATTTTCCAAGCCTCTTTACAAACTCACATTCAATAACATGGGGATTTTCTGTTTTAGTTTTAAAATAGGAGATCGAGAGCAAACGTTATCGAGCAGGGGTGGGATTCAAAATTTTTAACAACCGGTTCTGTGGGTGTGGCTTAGGTGGTGGGCATGGCTTGGTGGTCATGTGACTGTGTGGACATGGCTTGGTAGTCATGTTATTGGCTGGGTGTGGCCAACTCAATGTCATTCACATCGAGGCATGCATCTCCTCTCCTGGCCTCTCATGACTGTGGGGATGCTGCAACAGTTGTAAGTGTGAAAAATGGTCATAAGTCACTTTTTTCAGTGCCATTGTAACTTTGAATGGTCACTCCACACAAGCAAAGTACCAGCAAAGGAGGGAAAAAAAACTCCAGAGAAGTTCCTGAGACAGGAAGTCTAGTCCTGCCAAGAATGTAATAAGGGTTAACGGAGAGGCAGTTTCTGTAAGCAACACCAGAATGTTTCCTTCCTGCTTTCCTTACAGGATTAGGCCAGTAATTTCTTCTAACAACCGGTTCTCCAAACTGCTTAGAGTGTTAACAACCGGTTCTAGCGAATAGGTGCGAACTGGTAGAATCCCACCTCTGTTATTGAGCCAGTGGGCCATGTGTGCATGTATACATGTTGGATTATGTGTGTGTGTTTGGTGCTGGGCTCTAATGCCGATTTTTTTAAGGCGCTGCTGCTAAAAACACATGTTCAGAAAAAGAATGAAACCATTAACTTGATTAATTGGTGGCAGTTTTGAAATCTATCGGAATCGGTTTTCATAATCAATTCATTCGAACTGATGAATTGATTTAAATGCGGCAGTCTTAATTAGCATTGCAGTAACTACCTTTTGTTGTCTTCCCCAGCTCTCCTATTAGATTGCGTCGGTCATCTGAGAGGAATTATTGTTAATGGGTTGGTGGAATTCATTCTGCTCCTTCAGAAGATCTGATTATCCTCCTGCCTAAAAAAATCCCATGCGTTTAGAGTATGACAGTTGTAAGTAGCAGATGAGAAGTAGCGTCCATTCCGACGGAAGCGTTTGCTAAATAGGATAGTTCATCATATTTAACCGTGGTGGTAGTTGCTAGTAGGGGAAAGTTGCCTCATATGTGGCATTATTTCTTGTATTCCAATAAAGATTTCTTCCAGGGAGGAAAACTATTCATGGTTTTCTCCTCTGGAGCTATCATGATAGGAAATGGACAGTGAAAATGATGTAGGCTCAGAACTGAGGGTGGTGGGGAAGTCTTTAAGCGGAGAAAAATCTAAGTATACTTTGAGAAAAATGCGCTTGGAGTGCAAAGAATTGATTTCTCTTCTTGTGGGAGTTGTGTGCTGCTAGAAGACACAGGTGAACTGAACAAATAACTCTTTATTACAGTCATAGACTGAAACATGTATTGCCTGAATCTGCAAAAGTTGAAGTAAGGCAGGTTCCCTGTTGGAGCTCAACTCTCCGAGGGTAGTTAAGTTTAAGAACAAGGAAAGGAAAAATCAAAAGTTCAGGAACAAAGCATCCAGAAATGGAAAAGATCTCGGGGAACTGGAAGTTGGGCTAAAGCCAGGAAGCAAACAGCTGTACATCTTGTTCTAGCACTGTCCAACAAACCATCTGAATTTTGATATATTGCTTCATTGGGTATGTGACACATGTTTCCTTGGGAACAGTTATTTCAACACCGAATGCCCCTAGCTCAGACTTTGATGCTGATAAGAATTCAGGATTCTGATGATGCTGATAAGAATTCAGGAATGTCTATTGCTGCAACTGTGTCCTGGCCCAAGAGAAGATCACAGAGCCTGCATGAAGTTTGCAGGGAAGAGTTAACTAACATCCGAAAATGCTAGGAGCAGTTCCTGATGATTACAGTAGAATCCTGGTGGTCTGTCATATTGCAACTCTTTTCCATGAGGATCACACCAAAAGATACTTCATGGGGTTGTGCAGCTCTGGGCTCTAGAAAGCTGGAATCTTCAGATGATTTTCCCATTTTCGAAAGAGACCTTCTATAGTTTTTTGCCTGGTTTTTAAGCCACAGCATTAGCTTCTTCGCGATTTTTCTGTACTTCTTCCCATCTCCAGAGACAGTTTGAAGGTAGGTTGATATAAGAAATGTTTCTCCTGCCCAGTTGTTCTCAACTCTAGGGATCGGTGCTTATCTCAAGTTCCTAGTCAAGGGAATCAGATGTTGTCTAAAGACACTTCTGAGGTCATGTGGCTGGCATGACTATATGTTGAAGTACAAGGAAGGCTGTTACCTTCCCACCAAAGTGATGTACTCGCATGCTTTCGAACTGCTGTGTTGACAGGAGCTGGGGCAAAGATGGAAGCTCATTCCATCACATGGTATTTGGGTCTAAAACTGCCAACCTTCTGATTTACAAGGCCAGCATTTTAACTGCTAGATCAATGCATCTTCCCTTTGGGCTGATATAAGGGGCAGATATAAGAGGATCTAGATCTCTTCTGTGGAGTAATTAAATAGTGACACGCGGGGTTTATTTTTTCCATGCAAGAGCAGCATCTAGAGAGGTTGTGTGTTATCTTTGGCATGCTAAAGGATATTGTTGATACAGCTGGGAGAGAGCATTGAATTCAAGGCACCGAAGGACTCAGTCAACAAAGTTACATAGATTCTTCTAGGTTCTTCATAAGTTTTAGGGTCCAGAATTTCTAGAGTTTGAGCTGCCAGGGAACAGAACCAGAGTGGATCTCACTTCACGCTCTGGATAACCAATTACCTGTGCTGTGCAGGGTGGATCGGTGGATCAGTGGGCCTGTGGAACAACAAGTTCCATTCAGTCTTTTAAGTACCTTTCTTTTTTCTTTTTAATGAATGAATGGATTCTTTATTAGCCAAGGAATTTGTCTTGGTGCACGTGCTCTCAGTGTACATAAAAAGAAAAGATACATTCATCAAGAATCATAAGATACAACACAATAATAGTCATAGGGTACAATAAGCAATCAAATCATACTAGGAAACAGTCCATATAAATCTTAAGGATACAAGTGACAAAGTCCTACAGTCACAAGTGGGAGGGGATGGGTGATAAGGAGTGGTGAGAAGATTAACAGTAATAGTAGTGCAGACTTTGTAAATAGTTGGACAGTGTTGAGGGAATTATTTGTTTAGCAGAGTGATGGCATTTGGGAAAAAACTGTGCTTGTGTCTAGTTGTTCTGGTGTGCAGGGCTCTATAGCGTCGTTTTTAGGGAAGGAGTTGAAACAGTTTATGTCCGGGATGTGACGGGTCTGTAAATATCTTCCTAGCCCTCTTTCTGACTCTGCAGTATACAGGTCCTCAATGGAAGGCATGATATTAGATATCAAGGGATAAAACCAAGAGAAAGAGAAAGAGAAAGGGGAAGAACATCAGCAAAGGGGGATTGCCAAAGTCTTATTCTAATGAGTGTCACAAAAATGATGTAGTCTGAAATGTCAGATATTATTCCTCTGGTATGTTTTTAATCCAGCAAACACACACACACACTTTCTGGAGAGGAGTGATTGCTGCCTTAACATTGCGGTATGGCATCTTGAAACTTTTTACTCCTTAATCTGTTTAGTCTTTTCTGAATTGATTTTTTACCAGCTTTCCATTGCGTATGCATGCCGGATAAATCTTAAATTTAAAGGGATTCAGCAAAGGTGCCATTACTTTAAAAGGTCACATTTGAAGATGTTCCAGGCTTGGTGCTAGTGTATATCTGGGTCTGCAAAACCTCTTCTCTTCTCTTCTCTTCTCTTCTCTTCTCTTCTCTTCTCTTCTCTTCTCTTCTCTTCTCTTCTCTTCTCTTCTCTTCTCTTCTCTTCCCTTCCCTTCCCTTCCCTTCTCTTCTCTTCTCTTCTCTTCTTGCAGTTTCAGCGCCAGCAGGACATCCCAATGGTTTAGATGGAGATCTGACTTGGGCTTTGCAATGGGCTGTCTACCTGAAATCTTGCCTTTAAAGTCTGACTCCTTTCCAAGGTTCAGCTGCCATCATGGCCAATCAGACTGTTTACCAGGTGCATGCAAGCACATAATTTCTGGCTGATTGGTTGCCGCCTTATTGGAAGTAGAGTTTGCTAATTAGCAACCCTGATGGCAGCTAATTGGAACTGTAAGATTAGCAAGCCATTTCCTCTCAGTCACATGACCAGTAAGAGATTTGACTTTGATCTAACTTGGAGAACTCCGATAAGCACCTTAGAATTCTTTATTTGCTGTGCGCTGGGGGTGCAGTTGTGGGGTTGCGTTTGCACAAGACAAAAGGTGAAGTTCTTTTTTGAGTTGAACTCAAAGCTTGATGACTTCCTTCACATAGACACCCATGTGGCTTTCCGGTTAACAATGGAAATAGTTTCCTATAGTTTTCTTATGGGATGAATTTTTTTTTAAATTTCTTTAGAAAGGTCTATTTACAGTATATAGCAGCTGCCTGCAACTCTTTAGAGCAGCTACATCTTTCTCCAGGATCAAGCACTTGCATTGATGCCAAACAACTTAGAGCCGAGCGACTCAGTGTTTAGCACGGAAGTTCCCTTAAGCACTGAAATTATTATTGTTGCTATTATCAAATGATTATCATTTTTTTTAAAAAATTAAGGAATAACATGGTACTAAGAAGAAGCGAAAAGAATCGTGGTTTCGAATTCAGATTCCAGTTAGGAACCTAGAAATTATTCTTGTTACTTTTATTGTTTGTTTGCGGCTCATAGTGCCTTGGTAGGTGGGTGCCCCTATAAATGTATGAAAGAAAGAAAGAAAGAAAGAAAGAAAGAAAGAAAGAAAGGAAGGAAGGAAGGAAGGAAGGAAGGAAGGAAGAAAGGAAGGACAGCATCCCTCTGAGCAAAAATTTGAACCAGCTGAATTTCAGCTGAATTTAAACCAAATGTGTCAGGCATCTCAGGCGATTGCCCTGGAATTGCCCTGTTCCCAGGGGAATGCAGTCAATCTGGAGACATTCTTGCAACTTAGGTGACCAGCAGTAAAGCTTCTGCTTGAGACTATTCATGAGTGATCCTGGTTTTGTGTGCCTGACACCTAGTCTCAGAATTCTATACTTAAGTAAACCTCATAGAGTGTTCTGACCCAACCTTGTTCCAAGAGAGCAAACACAAAGGCAGCAGCCTCCACCTTTTAAGGTTTCGTCTATGAATTCTGTTTCTTCACAGATAAAAGGCTGCTTCCAGCTAATTAGCTCTGACAAGAAAGAGCCTTGCCAAGTTTTTTCAAGGCTGCCCCAAAGCCACAGATAAGAAAATAGTTACAAGAGATTGCAAATACTAATTACAATGTCCACGAGGCTGAGTTTCAGAGCGTCTTTGCTTTCTGCAAAGAATGCTTCCTCAAACCTGGCTTTTATCCTCTTGAGGGAGGAGCAGCCTTACTCCTGAGTCGCCCATGCTGTTGTAGCTGCTCTTTCCTGTGCACAGGCTCCTCAGGAACCTCCTCATCGCTGCTGCAGCCCCCACAATCACTGAAGGCAGCAGTCCACTCTCTGATGGTCCTGGCCCCTTATTTGAGTCCTCGCGTTCCTCAGCCGTCCGCACCTGCTGCCAGCTAACCACAACATAGAGCTTATTCGACATCAGTTGTACTCATGGGGATCTTCTCTTTGGGTGAATGGCATGAATGTAGGCTTCTCTTTGTGTGACAATGTTGATAGGATGGCTTCCTGTTGTGCTTGGTCTTTTCTAATTGCTTCCCACTTTCTGGGAAAGGTCACCGAGGGGTTTTGCTCCCTCCCTCCAATAAGTCTGCAATCAGTGGTATGTTTCAAACTAGTTTACCACTGGTTCAGTGGGCGTGGCTTGGTGAGCGCACTTTATACGAGTGCACACACTTTGCGCGTGCGTGAGCCAAACACGCACTTTGTGCAACCGCATTGGCTTTCTGATTCCCTTCCTGCAATCCTGCACTCTCGCTGTTGCTTTAGCAGCTGCCACACGGCAATCTGCTGTGCCACGCAAAGCCGCTGTGCTTCAAAAGCAGGGAAAATAAAGGTTAGTATGGGAGCCCAGCCGGGCGGGTGGGCCCAACAGCAGCTCAGAGAGAGCTGGTTCGATCTCGTCTGATCTTTGGCTCTGCCAGTACACCAGAACCGGGCCAAACCGGTAGAATACCACCACTGCCTGTGATGTTTCTTTGGTTCTCCTTGATCTAAACACATTACTGGTCCTCACTCTGTTCCACAAGCAGGTATGTCTCAGAACAATCTGTTTTTTTTTTTTACTTAAAAACCTTCTGGGTCTCTCTCTCCAGTTCCAATCACCTCACTGTACACGGCACAAGAAGATCAGTGAGCAGAGTGTGGCTAACGTGTTCTGTGGTCTCTTGCAACAGCCTGTTTCCTCTCAGGGGGAAGCTCGAAGCATTGCAAAACCTGCCCCAGGCTTTGGAACCCTTCTGGAGAGAAATCGGGGAGGAAAAGGTGTGATTGCATTTCTCCGATTCGGCTCTGCAGAGCAAAAAAAATAACTCACCTTTCTTCCACCCAGCAGCTCGACCTTCAAAGATTTGGAGGGGAACAGCTTGAAGGACAGCGGGCACGAAGAGAGTGATCAGACGGATAGCGAACATGATGCTCAGCGGGGCCTGTACTGTGACACAGCTGTTAATGATGTTTTGAATACCAGTGTCACCTCCATGGGGTCTCAGGTGCCTGAACAAGGTAAGTTGCCTCCATTTTGCAAATGCTGGGCATTGTTGTAGTACAGGGGTGTCAAACTCAAGGACCAGAGGCCAGATCTGGTCTGCGGGGTGCTTAGATCTGGCCCGCAGAGCTGCCCTGGAAACAGCGAAGGACCAGCCTTGTGGTGGCCCTGCCAGTGAAAATAGGATCCGGGTGGACCACAGATGGCTTACCCGAGCTCTGTTTTAGCTGGCAGAGGGCTGCTGGAGGCTGTCGTGGCTGAAAATGGAGCTCAGGAGCCTGTTTTTGCTGGCAAAGTGCTTGGGCCTCCACAGGCGACCCTGACATGAGTGATGTCAAGCTGGCCATGCCCATCCTGGGCCCCCAAGGTCAAACATAACCCTGATATGGCCCTCAATGAAATCGACTTTGACACCCCTGGTATAGTAGAACCTGCTAGTCCAAAAGAACACGGTCCAGTTGGTGAGTTATTATGTCATCTTCCATCCGATGCTGCTTTCTTAGAATGTTTATGAACATCTCAACAGCTTGAGAAGGAAGGACCAGCTTTGAATGTTAACAAAAGCAGCAATATCCATGGGAAGGAAGGGAAGGGTATGTGAGAACAATTCATTTCAAGTCACTACAGCAAACAAGAATGTCAAGGGCAGAGAGGGCAGATGGTGGCCTAAGGAGATTGGGAGGCCATTGTTATGGTTCTCCAGCAGCCTGTGCAGATGGTAGTGGAATCAGACAGTGGGGAAGAACAAGGACCAGTCCTGGAGTCTGGGGAGGACTCAGACTGCAGAGATGCAGCCAGGGCCATCTGGGAGTGGAGTATAAAGGACAGGCCAAGATGATGAAACCTTTGCAGGAAGCAAAGTCGTTCATTCGGTTCAGATTCATTCTTGAAGTTCTTTGTACTGCAGTTGGTTTTTGTTCTAGTTCATTTGACACTTCTGTTACTGGCAGCACTTCACAGGAAAGAAAGGTGGGTGCTTATCTCAAGGATTGTTTGAGATTCATTACCGGCTGGGAGGAAAATAATTCCTAGCATTGCAATAAACTAGACTTGTTTTTAAAATAAGCGTGTGCATAATTACAGTCTTGGAAGCCTTGGTCACAACAGCCATCCTAGTAACGGAGACAATGAGTTGGTCAAAACTGAAAAGCTATCAGAGTTCGGGGAAGCAACGGCTCTTCAAATGTCACCTTTAAAGTCACCTGCCCTGCATTTAGCTTCAAATTCCAGTCTAACGTTTCTGACCTGTCATTCAAGATCAGTGCACCCCAAACACTGTGCACGACCATTTTATGCCTCAGGAAACGGAAAGCTTCTAAAGTCAACCTTTTCCACAGAGGAAATTATGGGAAGTATTGAAATCGCCTTTCTTTTTATTTTGCTTTTTATTCACAATGTAAGTAAGTAAGTAAGAAAGAAAGAAAGAAAGAAAGAAAGAAAGAAAGAAAGAAAGAAAGAAAGAAAGAAAGAAAGAAAAGAAACCGGTACTTTATAACAAACATGACAGTGGTTTGCATAGTGACTCCTGAGTTTGTAAAAACATTGATTACTACAAGGCAAAGATTAGATGCCTCCTGCCTGTGTTTCTTGGCAGTGCAGAAAATGGGGCAGGTGTAACTGTTGATCATATTCTGATAAGAGCTCCTTCATACCTGGATGATATTTCTCCAAGCTCTTTCATCTCCTTTCTCTTAGAAGGCCTATTTTTCCTCCAAGCAGCTTAGGTCAGAATGAAGTCCCTCAAACATTTTGGGTGAGCTGCACCAGGTTCATACTGCTAGCATTCATTTTAAAATAGGAGGGGTCCCACAAAATGGCAGCTTTGTTGCTTCTTACTCAGGCATGATGTCTTGAAAGCCACGGATGTGCTGCTTGATCCATGATGTTGCTCTAACTGGCTGTAAGTGTTGTGGCCTGCCAGCAGCCAGCAGAGCTGGTGGCAGACTCGGACAGTGAGAAGGTTGGGGAAGAACATGGGCCAGTCCTGGAGTCTGGGAAAGGCTCTGACAAGTGCTCTGCATCGGAGGCAGAGATGGGGCCAGGGCCGTCATCAGCTTCCTTTGGAGTCAGAGATCAGTGGGGTGGAAGAACAGCTGGAGCCTGTTTCCAGGGTATGTGTGCGCAGAGCTGCCAGAAGAAGGGAACAGCTAAGGAACAAGGGGCGACTTGGGAGTAAAGCCATTGGTGGATGGTGAATGGCTCCTCCCATAGGGAATAAAAGAGGAGCGAAAGGGGAGTGGGATTTTGCAGGAGACAACTAGTTCATTTGGGTGAAGATCTGTTCCTTCATGCTTGCCTAGTATTGTCTGCTACAGTGAGGCCCCTGAAAGATATCAGCCTGGCAACTCTCCAAGTCTGATAGAGTTGAATTATAGAGCTGTCTATAATTGTGAAATATCTTGAAAGACTATTGGCCGGGACTTTGCTGGAGAGGAATTCAGTGTAAACTAAATAAAAAGGGTTAATCGGGATGAGAAGTTGACTTCGTGCTGTTGGAAAAGCCTAGGTCAGAACAGTAATTTATTTTCCTGTCTTGGAATTGAAGTCCTAGATGGCCAATTTTCACTTGTTGTACATTCCCCCTTTGCTATTCCAGGTGATTTGAAAACTTCAGGTTTTTTTCCCTTGGCGGTTACAACTTTAGATCCCTGAGCACCCAGTTATGTAAATATGCATTGAGTGATGTTGTGGAAATTGTACTCTGGTTTCTCAGGCATACATACATTGGAATACGTGTGTCACACATGCAGGTGTGGGCCTGTAAATATTTCAAACGTTGAAGTACGGCTTCAAATATGTTCAAAAGTTTGTGTATTGCTGGCTGCTCCTTTCCTTCAGCTGGATTCTATCTGATGGTTGAAAAAAATGGGGAAAGCGATCTCTTTTATTTATGCGGTTTATCTCTCTATTTAGGAGGTTTAATTCCTGCCTTAAGCTTTCCAGGTTGGTCTATTACGCAGGTATACTTGTGAATTGGCTGAGACAATCTACTAATTGAGTTACCACAGCTAGAGTCAAAATGGGGCTAATGAGAAGGAAGAGAGACATTGGTGTGTTCAGGGAAAATTGTCAGAATCTCAAGACATCCTCGTGGAAGGAGGCAAAAGAACACAAAAATTCTGTTCAGAGAAAACTGATCGAGGAATGGGAGAAAAAAAAGCAAAGCTGGATGGAATAATTTCAACTGTTCCTTGCTTTCTTTTATGGCACATTCTCCAACGTAAACATTTATCTGTTGACTGTAAAAGTTTACTGCCCATTTCCCAGAGGAAGCAATGGACAAAATTAGCAATATTTAAAGCAATCAAAACAAAATAAACTGTAATTGGAAGTTTTAGTAAGAACAGCAGTAAGGGTCTGACAAATAAAACATCTTGAGGCTGTTAATTTTTTTTTTTGCCAAATGTCTGTTTAAAGAGCCTTGTTTCTGCATGCTGTCTAAGATTGCATAACGTTGGAGTCAATATGTTGGATGAGTTGTTCAAGGTGGAAAGAAATACAGTTCTGAAAGAGAAATGCAGAAATGCTCTAATTTTTAGGGTTGTTTTCTTGGATAGTGATGGCATTTTAGATTTTCTTTTTCTAAAGGAAAAAAACAAAACAAATGAAACCAGTGTCAGCTTGGAAGCAAAACTGAAATCTCCTTCCCCCTCCCTCTCCCTCTCCCTCCCTCCCTCTCTCCCTCCCTCTCCCTCCCTCTGTCTCCTCCCCTCTCGTTTATTCATCTATTATCTATCTTCCCACTTTTATCCATCATTCTCTCTTCTCTAGGAATTCAGCAAATGTGAATGTATAGAGCAGTGGTTCCCAACCTTTTTTTTCGCCCCGTACCCCTAAAGAAATTTCACTCGAACCTCGCACCCCCTGAAATTTAGACTTTAGGAACTACTGAACGTGTTAAATATATGGTAGGATTGAATCTTTTCAGCTATGTATGTGACGGCCACTAAATAACAATACTTAACTCTAAAATGAAAACAAAGTTAATCCATTGCATAATAAATAAAAATGCCAACATACAGCCAATATCCTATTATTTACCTGGACTTTTCTCACACCCCCTGGGATATCATCTCGCACCCCCAGGGGGTGCGAGCACCCCAGGTTGGGAACCCCTGGTATAGAGGAAACTAGAGAAATAAATTCCATGCATAACTTCAAAATGTGAGGCATTTGCTAAAAGTCTGAAGAGCAATTTACTGAAAGTTAAGAGGGTTTCCCTCCAGCACAGATTGTAAATTCTTTACCTTTCACAATAATATTTCAACCTTAACAAAACTCTTGTGCTCTTATACATCAAAAGGAGAGAAACAACAACATTTGTGTCAGGGAGATATTTAAGATTGGCTTCTACGTTTTTCCTTCAAGTGCCCTCCAAGCAAGATTTTTTTTAAAAAAGCCTCCAGGTCTTTGTATGTATTAATCACTTATCCTTGTGAAGAACAGCCTTAACAAGTGTGTGAGAGGACTTTTTCTCTCTCTCTCTAAATACCTGTGAGGGGACCATTATCTCGCTGTCATTTTTCTGCAAAGAGTTGCATAAAGAGCTCTTGTTCAATAAAATTAGTGCAGTTTGAGCTTGTGCAGTTTCTATCAGAGACCCAAGATTGATCGCAAAGTTCAAAGGACTGATTTTTAGGCTAAAGGTGTGTATCTCACTGCCTCTGTGAATTCAAACACTTCTGGGACGGTTTCAAAGCACGATGGTTTTGCCCTTTAACCACTCAAAATGGGGCATGTGCACTTTTGTACACCACCAACCAAATGGGAGAATAAGGCAGGTTTCAGGTTCATTTAAAGAAAGGGATTCAATAATCTTTTGCTGTCATATTAAGATGTTCCAGTTAGGAGAAGGTAGGTTGGAGTTGTGAACCTCTCTGAGCTTTGCACACATCTTACTCACCTGAAATTGAACAGATATGGTACCTATATGAGAACCTGCATAGCAGTTAAAGCATCAATTCCAGTCCTGCTTTAAGGGTGAAACCAGCTGGGTAAATCTGAGCCAGCCTGTCTC